TGAATTTCAAAAGTTTTGTACAGTATCGCGCGATTTTTAAAACAACAACACATGACGGCGCTTTTTTATATTAAATTATATTTTAGGAAATACTGAAAATTTGGAATAAAAAATCGCGCGATTTTTTATTCCAAATTTTCGCCTGCGGCGCTTTTTTTATATTAAATTATATTTTAAGAAATACTGAAAATTTGGAATAAAAAATGCGGCGCTTTCTTAAAAAAAAAATTTAAATATATATTGAAAATTTGCGCCGCTTTTTTAAATAGAAAACATTCTAAAAAATTTAACATTATTTTAATTTGTTGTCTGCATTTTGATGTCTGTGTTTTTATTCATCTGTATTTTGATTTGTCTGTATTTTGGTTTGTCTGTATTTTGATTTGTCTGTATTTTGATTTGTCTGTATTTTGATTTGTCTGGGTTTTGATTTGTCTGTATTTTGATTGTCCGCATTTTGAATTTCTGGATTTTGATTGTCTGGATTATGTTATACACCCCAATGACCTTTCACCCTGGGTGGACTCAGGTAGATATTACTTGGGAAATGCCGTGCGTAAGTGAAAAGAAAAGCTTTTACAATTATATTTCGAAGCGGCCTTAACTGATATACTTGTTCTTGAATTATTCGAGAACAATGAAGTATCATGTGTTTCGCGACTTTGAGTTTGCAATGATTGCCAGCTCAAATATTATGGCAATGTCGCAATCTTGTCGCAGGAGAGTTTCCATACAATCAGCTGTGTCGCAAGTTGGCAAATTTTGCAACAAATGCGACATTTGCAACAACTTTGCGACGCTTCGTGAATCCTACTAATACACCTTTAAAATTCAAAACCCAAACTCAATATCAAACAACAAGAGTTCTGAACAATTTGATTTTTAACCGATTTAAAGAAAAGGAGGGGGTTATTAATTCGCTAGAATATATTATTTTTTTTGTATTTTTTATTTTTATTTTTATTTATATTACCGCATAACTTTGTACCACGTCAACCGATTTCGAAAGCTAGTCTCTCAGAGGTGGTCCCATACTAATCTGGTTTAGATTCGACCATTGGATCTTGACAAAATTAACGGTACTCCTAAATTTGTATATAAGAATTGAAGTCGGTTTTGTTTTTTGCCAAAAAAATTACTTGTTTTATTTTTAAG